TGTACCAGTCATTCAGCTAGGTATGGTAATGTTGTACCAGTCATTCAGCTAGGTATGGTAATGTTGTACCAGTCATTATAGCCTGGGATCTGAAGGTATTTTCTCCAGATGATTTCCTGTACCTAGACCAAATGTTGTAGTCTTTCTTCCTCAAAGTAAATGCACCAGGTAGCAAGAACAGAGATCCATCCTGATCCATGTAGGCCGTGCACTCTAACAAAGGTAAAACAGTCTCTTTCTTTTCTGAAGCCAGCGGTATCTCAGGTACCTTCTCCTTGGTTACCGGTCTACTCTTCGTCTTCCTTTCTACATCAGTATTTTTGACTTCAGTATTTTTACGTGAGCTTCCAGCCATTGTTAAAGCAATTCTATTCACTTCAGCTTGTTCTAACCTCTTTTTACACTTTTCGCAGGAGTCTCTAACTATTTTAGTCGTTTCCGTACTTGATTTCACCAARAGAGGTAAAGACGTTTTCTCCCCACCTTGTGCCTTTCGCTCACGCCTGCGCTGGCTTTTCCCATCGCCATTTTGAGTAGCGCGTGAATGCAGAAAGACTGGACCAGCACAGAAAGTGCAATCCCCTTCATCTTTATCACTTGTCTTACATTTTTTAGGATCTCGTGTGCAAGCCAAATGAAATGTTTTCTTGTTACAACGGTGGCTGCGTGGTAGAGGATTTTTTGTTTTTTCCCTCACCTCTTGGCTATAAGAATCCCTCCTTACTGTCATACTACAGTTTTGAATCCGAAGATTGTTCACAAGTTCCCCATGATCACTGTTATCACCACCAAGTGAATCCTGTTTCACTCTAAGACTCGATCGAACGAGTTTTCCTGACAACTGCTTACATCTCTCACTCTTCTTACTGTTTAATCTTTGATCATCACTAACTACATCATCAAGCAGCTCTTTTAAGGAATGGTTGCTAGTCTTTCCAGTTCTTGTTTCTAAGAGTCTTGGAAAGCGACAAGAAAGGGAATGCCCGTCAGAACTGAGTTGAAAAAACGGCATTTGACCTTTTCCAAGAACGCGTGTGTCTTTGGAAAAATCGTTAAACCTTTCCGAAAATGGCACTATYGTTGAAGTCATGTTTCTTAATGGATGCTCTTCATCGCCAGCCTTAGGGTCTCTAGATCGAATTTGTTCTGCCCTCCTCTGATAATCCTCGAATCCTTCAACAGTGTTCTTTTTGTTCATATTTTTGACTGTGGGGAGGACAAATTCTTTAGGTTTTTCGCTTTTTAATGACCGTAGTTGAGTAAGCTCATCTTCAAGTAACTTATTAATGTGTTCAAGTCCATGTTTGTTGTCAGGCGATTGGTGTTTGTGAAGATCAATAGTACACGGTACAAACAGATCCATGCTTCATTAACGTATGTTATACTTGGGATTAGATTTGTTGACATATAACCATACACGGAATTAAATAAAATTATTAGTAGTATTCTACATCTCCTTCGTTCTCTTAGTGAACAAGATGGCCGCAAAACTCATGAAGAATCCCATTAAATCCGAATAATGTTGCAGTGGTCTTCAAAATCCTTTCAAAAGTAACTTGATGTAGATGATTTTACAGACTGAAAGATTGCTGTGATGTAAGTGTGGTGAATGATACGAATTACCAGCGCTCTTGTTGCGCTAGTTCCACCTCTGCAGTACTTTTGGTAAAAGTTTTGAATAGGGAAGAAGACCAATAGGTTTACCTCGACACACTTCACCTTCAAGTTTGTCAACTGTTCGCCTTTTAGTACAATTGTAATTGAACTCGAAAAACGAGAACGTGGCCACTGTTCTCTACAGCCTGCTTGTCTTCAGTTTGTTTAAACACAAAATATATGTTTTTGTACTTTTTGTTCCACTTTCTTTTTCAATAAACATTCTCGTCTCTTCTCAATCTCCAAAACAACAAAGAAGCGAAAATGCCGCTCTAAATCCAGACTTCATTAAAATTGAAAACTATTTAGTCAAGTGAAATCTATTAACCCTGCCGGGAATTATAGTTACTCGATGGCACATGAAAGCTAAGATGGCTCTTATTGTTTCTGCCATTTCATAATCCCTTAGACAATCGAGAAGGATTTTTGTCTGTAATGTATATTGAATGATTGACAATAATCACGACCCGTCAAATATTATGGTCTATGTACATTGTTGTACAATGGTAAACTAAGAGGTTCGTGTTTGACAATGGATTAGTCTCCATAGGTGAGGGATTGGTTGTTATTGACTTGCTGTTAGTTTTGATGATGTATAAGTATTCGATTTGATTAGGAAAGTCGGCAATGAGAATATTAGAAAATTTCATTCAGAAAAATTCGCTTATTTCAGGGGCGGCGGAAGCTAAAGATCTTTGGGGGGGTGGGGGGCACTGAAGATTATATTTAACGCTATGTGATAATGACAATGTTTTGTTTGATTGCAGACGCATGCGCCGTAAAACAATGACTAAGAACCAATATTTTAGGGAGGGGGCCAGGCCCCCCAAAAAAATTTGGTGGGGGGTGGGGGCACGTGCGCCCCCCGACTCCCCCGGTTCCGCCGCCCCTGTATTTTCGGTTAAATTAACACAGCTGTCTTAGGGGACTAAATACAAGCCATCTTGGAACGTCTCCTAAAACAGCCCCAAAATGCACTACAACTCCAACTCGACCCAGTTTTTCCCTCAACTTCAGAATGGCTAATATGATACCTTTTAAAAGTCCAAGCGCCAGACTGCGCATGACAATTATGGCTAGTTGCCTTGTGGGTAAAACATAATTATGTATAGTAAATATAGATATTAGTAATAGGAAATCGCACGATCTCGAGGACAATTTGGAAATTAATAGACCAAGTAATGTTTTGAAAGTTCTTGTAAGTGCAATTAAAGAACTTTCAAAACATTACGAGTGTCTATTAATTCCAAATTGTACGAGAAGATCGTGCGATTTTTTGTTTATAGTTCACTCAACAAAATTTCAGTAAAAAATGCGAAGCGACGGCGTTCATCTTTGTCTATTCAGTGGCGGCCGATTTTCAGTCCATCGCACAACTGAAATGCATAAAAAAGATTAGTTCTTACGGCTTTAAAATTTTATTTATATGTTTTTTAAGTACAAAATGATAGAAAATAATTGTTTTGACATTGTTTTGGCCGTGTTGCCATAGCGACTTAATTCGGTACTCCTACGGAGTACAATTAACGCTATAATTGTACTCCTCTCGACCAATCAGAGTCGAGTAATTTTGATGAGTGTACTATAATGATAGAAAAACTGAACGATCATGACCCAGCAATCCGAAACATTTCCATTAACAACGATGAGATGAACGTTTTGTTTGCTTTATTTTTTATCTTTTAAAGACAAAGGCAAATTGTTAGCGGTGGGATTTGATATCTCGACTGAATCTAGGGTAGTAAATTGTTCCATCACGACCACGCTGCAAGAACAGTAGCCCTGCAAGAACACTTTAGATGATGATCACTCTCGGCTGYTAGCCAGTTTAGACCTAGCCATTCGCGTTATTGGATAAATCATGAGACAGGCAGCTAAATCAACAACACATTACAAACCTGACGTGTAACCAAGGAACTGAGAGATAGACTTCTCAATTAAGTTTACAGAACAAGAAGGTTTATGAATAAATTTTTTCAACTTGGAATAAAATTGTATATTAAAACTCTGTGAATTTTCGAAAATTTTAATAGACCTTCAGTTTTAGGTTTAATTAGACTCCCTATACTAATAAACTATGGATTTAATATGATGTATGGCAGTTAGATAGAGAATTTTATCTGTTCTCGAATACCACACTGATTTAATAATATGAGAAGATAAATTTATTAAATATTCAAGAAAAATGAAATAACTCCGCTTTTATACCGAGGTACAAAAAGTCGAAGCCAGGCACCACACGATCTATTTACCAGGGTTGAAAACAAGTTTATCATTGTAGTTTTTTATGAGGTGTGTTCTACAGACGTTTTTAATTCTATTTTTCAGGAATCGAAGGGAAAATACTAACATATGTCATTAAGGGAGAGCGAGAATGAACAATACTTCTTCGAACAATGTTATTTTTGCGCGACCATCGATTATAATCACATGGCCTGTAAGTAACAACCCCAGGTACAGAATGCATTACTCCCGTTCTCTGGTCTATCACCGATGGAAAACGAACCTTTGGTTTCTCTGATGTTATTTTACTTTCGTTGATATTCAACTTTGCGGTATTTTCCGCCTTTACTTGGCTGTAAATCGATTTAGGATTGAGAAATATTAATTTGCTGTCCCTCTGACTGATTATTCTTGGAGATGAGCTTTCTTTGATTGTCGTGATTTTGGTTTTTGGTTCGCTTTTGCTGCAGTCGTCACTAGCTATGTTCACGCGTTTAGAAAGCGAAGAGGGTAGATTCAAGCGAGGTAAAACATTTCTGTCACCTGCAGTTTTTATTCCACATGAATACAACATTTTTTTCTCCCTTTTCTCCAATTCTGGTTCTGTACAAGCATCATCGCTAGTCATACAATATCTTTGCTTCCACCTCGCCAATTCTTCCAACAAATCTTTACTTCTTCTTTTCAACTTCAATTCTTTCAATTCAGTTTGTCTAGATCTGATCATAGGCTGTTCATTTTCCTTTTTGATCGCATAGTCATCATTATCGTTATCTTTGAATGTCTTTTCTTCAACGTTTCTTAAACTTGAGCGATCTAAAACTTGCTTAAGGATATCCAAATGAATATGGCTTTTTTCTCTTTTATCTTGTTCATTATTCGCTCTAGCCTTCCCACTTTTTCGTATAGCAAGGTTACTCCTAAACCTCCCAGCTCCAAAAACACTGCTTTCCATGCCTCTGAACACCAACTTTCCTGGCTGCGAGGTCCCAATAACAACAGGATTTTTCGTAGGCAAAAGCGAGTTCCCAAGATCAACTATTCTAAGTCTTCGTTTTTCTTCAAAGTCTCTACTATCTGTTCCACGATATCCGTCTTTTCTTTGACTATAGTAAATGTGTCCGGTACTTGCACAAAGAACTCGACTGTCTGTCTCTTTGCCATACATGAAGGGACCCATTTCAAGGCCTTTTTCAGTGATTACATACATCGTAGCCTTACCACATCCTCTTTCTTGTGCGGATATTTCCGACATGTTATCGACCGTTTCACTAACAAACTAGAGTCCTAATATCCTATCGTGTCCTGAGCAACAGACGTCTGAATAAATAAAGATGCTTCCAGCACTGACTTCCTTGGCAAAGCCGAAAAATTATTCAGATAATAGAGTCATAACCACTTGGTAAATAACACGTTTAAAGGCGTGAGTTCATCATTTCGATTGTCAAACAGGATTCCTTTGAAATATGAATGGAATCTTCAACAGCTTATCAGATAGTTAGGTAAAGGCAAGTTCTGAACTTGATTCCACGAAATCAAAAATAAAGACACAAAGCCGATAGATCTATTTGTATTCAAGGCTATTCACAACCTATGCACATTTAGCAGTCAGTTAACACTGAATGGTAATAGCAGATAAGCCTTGTCGAACAATGAATGAAAATAAAAGCACTCGTTTAGAAAATGGCCAATTGTCCACCTTCATTGTCACCTCTTTGGTAATTAAAAAAACGGTACATTTCTTTTGTAAAACAACTTGTAATGCTTTTTTAAGATAATAGTTTAGCCTAGCCTTTCAAATCATGTACTGACTAAAAAAAACTCTGGGAATTGAATAGATTTTGGATTATAACGAATACGCCAAAATRCTAAACAAAAAGATGCATTTTTACAGATGAAGGCCATTTGTAAATGGTCGTGACGTCTAGGTAGCATTAATTAAATCAGAGACAAACTTTGTTATTGATATTACGAAGCCTGATTGCAAATTTAAGATAGATGCATTTATAACCCAAAGTTTTTACATTTAAGGGGGAATTATGTTTAGTGTGAAATGATGCCAAAACATTGCAATATGCGCTATATAAGCACAAATTAAGATAAGAAATATATGTGTACATAGGAATATATGTGTTAATTAAAAAAGGTACTTATGAATCCAACAGTGTAAATATAATATATTTAAGAATTCTTAATACTACTGTACTATACACATACTTACCACCTTATAGGCATGAGATAACTATTAGATAGACATCAGCAGGGTGTTTTGATTTCATGCACTAGTTTGCTACTGCAAATTAATGAGTGGATGTTAGAACGACAGAACTAGATATTATATTTAAACCTAAACCGAATATATGGAAGACAATCTCATATCTATTCATTTATTGTGTTTACATTATTGTTTCAGTGTTCAAATTAAATACACTTGCCTTGGCACAAAACTATAATAAAAATTTTTAAATATTTTTCTGATTTAAGTTAAAATTTTACTYTTCTATAAGCTGTTCCAAGGTTGAGGGAATTATTGGTTGAGTTGGCATCATTGGGGACCGTGGAGCGGGGGGTGCAGTCCCCCCACTTTTTGCACCAAAAATAGGAATATAAATAAAAAACATTT